AACGTGAGCTCAGTCATCCAAGATCTTGTATTCTCCAAGATGTTACACTATCTATAACTATCTATCTGTCTATCTCTCTCTCTATCCATCTATCAATATATCTATCTATCTATCTCTCTCAATATATCTCTCTATCTATAATCTCTATCTATAAGGAACCGCAGTAGACGAAAGGCGTTGCTATAGCAACACGTCGTGTTTACGCTGCATTTTCTATGAGGTAAATATTACCCGCTGGCGGAAATAGGTATAAATGGCATTTTTTTTGGCGATTTTTTCAATCTGACTTCATATTGACAATTGTTAACAACAGAGGGTGCTACATAACACACGTTCAGGAAAAGCCACGGACTGGGAGACTTTAATATGTTATTGAACAAAAGTTACATACAATCAAAAAACAGCTGCGGGTAACATTTATCCGTTGGCGGTTCTAGTGTTAAAAAGCGATTGGAATCATACATAAAGCACATTTACAACACAGATCAGTGGAGACATTTTATTATTATTACTATTTAGTTTTTCTTTAGTTGTTTTTCCGTTACATTGGAGTATGACAGGTGAGGCTCTGCCTCCCCTGCCTCCCCTGACCGCACGTCGCTGGAAATGAGAGCCTGCATGCCAACTTACTGCGGCACATCAGCACCATCACGGAGCTGTGACACAGCCTGCATTCACACACTGCGACCAGCTCTATCCAAACCCTTTCTTCGTCTCTGAAATAATGAGTGACAGGCTGATACAACCCTAACCCTAACCCTCTGAGGGTAACCATAATGCTGTGGCTGGGGATGAAATTGAGTTTGCGTCAATCCAGATCAACAATTCGCAGTGTTTTGTTCCTTTGAATGTTAAAATGCATTCTGGAAATTGAGAAAATGACTTGCTTTATAGACCTGGATCAAATCTGGATCCTAGACCTATAAAAGACACAGTTTGATACTTGGGTTAAATTCTGGGTTTGACAAAAACAAGCTCTCAGGAAACACAGGCAGTCGCACACTGAGCACAACATTTATTCTACCAGATCTTCTGATGAGTTCACCTGTGCTCTGACCTCTGCAGGGATCACGTGTTTGCAGTGAACCTGACGACAGCTTCAGAAGAGTTTTTCCCTCAGCTGGTGAGTATACTATAAAAGAAAACCGATTATTTCTGTGTTTTTCTAAACCACAGAAAGCAACGTTTTCCCAGATGATTATTTCTATTTAAGCAATGCATTTATGAAACTCTACAGTAATTACAATTCTAAACTAAACACTTGATATCATTTTTCATACTTTGTTTTAAAACAGAGGTTAAAGAAGCTTCCTATTTTAATCTGTGCCAGTGGAGTTAGCTGCTCAAAGGTTAACAGATGCACACAGACCCGAGCCATACTAAAGGATTCTGAATATGAATTGCATGGCTATAAATGTTATATCATGCTAAGTCACCATGACCAGTGCTGTAAGGGTCAGTGCGTTCATGACAAACCAACATGGTTCCTCATGCAGAATGCACAGTATGTAGATTGATGCACGCAATGATCTGCCCTCACCATTCAGGGTCAACATCTTCATCCTTTTGGGATATCGAAGAATACCATTTAGTTGATGAACTATCCTAACAAAAAAATAAATATATTCTGTATACCGTAATTTTCGGACTATAAACCGCGCCTTTTTCCCCATTTTTCGACGCTGCGGTTTATATAACGGTGCGGCTAATCTATGGATTTTTACAGCTAACGGCCACCACCTTTAACTCTATGGGCTCTATGGCCGGTCCGCGGACCCCCACCTTTAAGCGGCGGGTTCCAGCAGGAAAAGCTGGAGGCCGGAAAAGAGTGAGACAGGTAGCGCGCAAAAGTAAAAGTGGAACCGAGAGTGGTATGCCGCTGCTGCGGCTTATATTCAGGTGCGCCTTATATTCCGAAAATTACGGTAGTTAAGTTCATGACAACTGTGAGGGGGGGAATTTTTTCACAACTAATCTTTTTAACTTATATTAAGGCTTAAAATGATGCATAAATGATGTCAAAGAACCATGACCGCTGTGTACTGTTACAGCCTTATTTCACATAAGCCTTTTTCTCATCTGAACCTCTGTCTGGCGACTTAGGTCTGCTAAATGTCTGAGTTCCTGAGTGTCAGACGCTTTCTCACAGACTGGAAATACTTTCTTTAGTTGAGCCGAGGTTAAAGTTTGGGAGGAAGCTAGTATTACACCACCGTAATGTAGCCGCTTGTAAATTGGTAATTGAAGCCTGGTATCTTCTTAGTCAGAAGTTTCAAACCTTTTAGCCTCTCTGGTAAGAAATGTTTTCTGGCGGACAAAAAGACTAACAAAGCTTTGTTTCGACAACCACAGTGGCTAAAATCTACCAACATCCCAGATGTATCTGTGCTGTTCCTCTGAATTTGACTCACATACTGTAAGCATCTCTCCCTAAAAGTGGCAAGAGCAGCATCAAAGCTGGCGGCTGACAAACTGCAGAATATTTTTTGCAGAAAAAGCAGTAACTACCAGAGCAGCAGAACAAACCAGAGCATCTTTTGAAGTGGGAGGCAGCACTGAGTCCCTTTCATCTGCAAACCTCTTCCTCATCACAGACAGTGAAGGTTACAGGGTGGCACCTGAGGTAATGGGCCTCTCTGTCTATTGTGCCCCCAGCAGCTCTTTGAAGTGAGATGTGATAATACTTTATTTATCAATGATCAGACATCAGCAGGATGAAGTCCACCTTGTGCATTTCATTCTCCCTCTCTGTGTGAGAAATGTTTTTAATGTTTCAGGTATAACAGGTCCAACTGAGACAGGATCAGGTTACTCACAGAATAAGTCATTGTCTGCCACTAGGTGTCTCCAAACCAAACCAATGCCAATAGAGGTGGTTTTTTTACGTCATAAAGTGGGAGTTGTTGCCTTCACCCTCATTGTGGTCTTTACAGTCAGAGAGCAGTTATCCACATAGCTCTCCTCCGACACAAACAAATTCTACATTTTCTTTTGAATAATGAATGTGTATTTTTGAAAGTGTATTTTACCACTGGATGACAAGCTTTTATTAAACAACACAGCTGACTCTTACTAAAAGGAGATGGAATGCCACTTCAGGCGACCAAATGTTGACCTTGATTGAAACTCAAACATCTCATCATGATTCATTTTTATTTGTGATCAAAAATCACAATCACAAGTAGAATTATACTCTCTTATTGTCTGTCTGTCGGCTCACTGTGAATGAATATGTTCATAACCTGTCAGATTCAGACCTGTGCTGTACTCTGTGTTTCAGAAGCTGACATGGCGATCTGAAGACGTCAGCAAGTGTACGGTCAGAGGAAAGAATAGCGTGAGTTTCTTCTGCTTTTCCATTCTTTTCTTTCCACCCCTTTTGGCTTTTTACCTCATAACTTCCTGTTCCTCTACCATGTCCGGTTTTCTTATACTGCATACAGTTTAATTTGAGTATTTATGGACGAATGGTTTAGAAAGTACTAAATATGAAGATGAAATCATCTTACACATTTTGTTATTTGTGAACAGTAGAGACTCTGCAAACTAGTGTTTCATCTCAAGCCGCACGATTTAGAAAAAAAACCTAATTCTGATTAAATGTAATGATATTCAATTGCAATATGATATGATACGCAGCTGGTATTACACCACGTCATGTAGCCGCTCGCAATTTGGTAATTGAAACCGGGTCTCTTCTTAGTCAGAAGTTTCAAACTTCTTAGCCTCTCTGGTAAGACATTTTTCATCCCATACCAGATGTCATACATCCCAGATGTATCTGTGCCGCTCCTCTGGTTTTGACTCACATAAGCATCGTTCCCTAAAAATGGCGAGAGCAGCATCAAAGCTGACGGCTGACAAACTGCAGAATATCTGAACAGCAGAACAAACTAGAGCATCTAGTGATCTGAGCGGCAGCACGGAGTCCCTTTCATCTGCAAATCACCCTTCTCACTAGCTTTGAAAGATATATTAAATTGATCATAGTGCAATTTAGTTCCTTACCAAACAAATAAGGTAAGTCTGTAGCAATACGATGTTTAGGCCAGGATATCTTTGCAGTTCCACAAAATGAATTCTAAACAATATTAAACGCATATTTACCATATTGCAATTACAACAAGATGTGGAATAATTGTGCAGCCCTAGTTTCAACCCTGACAGTCGTGATCAATAAGTGTTATAGATAAAAGTAGAAGACACTTTTTTTGTTTGTTGGGTTTTAGGACGAGTGCTACACAACTACGTCAAAGTGCTGGTGCCGCGAGATGACGAAACGCTGTTCGCCTGCGGTACCAACGCCTTCAACCCCACCTGCAGGAACTACAAGGTGAAGTGTGAAAGTGAATACTACTTCCCTGATGGCTCCCACAAGATTGCTGACATCCTCGTGGATTCATCTTCTTATTATAGACACATGCATTTCCAAACATTTGGACTACCTATGTTGTAAATGTATTATCTTTTCAATTTACACACGGCATCTATTGCACGTCTGTCCGTCCTGGGAGAGGGATCCCTCCTCTGTTGCTCTCCCTGAGGTTTCTCCCATGTTCCCCTTTAAACTGTGGGTTTTCTCTGGAAGTTTTTCCTTGTACGATGTGAGGGTCTAAGGACAGAGGGTGTCATATTGTCATACTGATATTCTGTACAAACTGTGAAGTCCACTGAGACAAATGTAACATTTGTGATATTGGGCTATATAAATAACAATAATTGAAAGACACTTCATTTATATATTTCGATGTAAGATGAAACAAATAACAATGTTCTTTTTTGTCGGTTGTATATTTACTTATTATTAAAGTTATTTTTTCATCTATTCTTGCATACGTGAATGATAAAGTTATCATTTACATGGTACTTTTTTATTATAAATTTATCCTTCTCCTTTGTAAATCATACAACCAAACCATACATTAATAAGGACTTAAATAAAGCCAATCAAAAAAAAGAGCCCTTTTCATTTCAGAACGTCCATAAAAGGACAAGAAGAGGCAAGTCTATAATTCTGTTTGGTAAATGTTCTCTTATCTAAACATACCTCGACCCCTTTCCCAGATTTCTGTGGCGTCCCCACACGGGTTGAAAAAAGTGCCCGGTATGAAAGACTTAACACGACTCCCGGTTTATTTTACCTGCTTGGGACCACCTTCTACTACACAATCTCGTCTACACCCCATATATAAGGTCCCACGTCGGATGGCGTCGTGACCCTGTCAGGTGAGGTTAGTTAGTTT